AGCAAATATTTACTGAGCACTTACTGTTTGCCAGTCCAGTTTTAGCGATTGTGATTGCAACAGTAAAATCTCTCTCTCATGGAGTATATACCCCATTGTTTAGTCAATAACAACACATAAAAGTAAAAATATGATGTTAGTGATTAACGCTAAAGAGGAAAACTATAGCAGAGAAGGGGGCGAGTGTGTTTTGGCATATTGCCTTAGGGAAGTGGAGAGGTAAGGGAAAGGCTTATTGAGATATCTTTTATGCAAGGACCTGAAGGAAGTGCAAGATTATTTATAATGCATACTATAGAAAAATGGAGAAAGGAAAAGAAATGTTTTAGAGCAAGAATGTGCCAGGTGTGTGCCAGGAATAATGCACAGGAGCAGTGCGTAAGAAAGTGAGAGTCCTAGGAGATGAGGTCGAACAGGAGAATGAATAGGGTGCTAGTTCAGCAGATCCTGCAGCCCTCAGGAAACAGAACTGTAATTTTCACTGCTTGAGATCAGGAGCCAGCGGAAGATGCTGAGCTGCAAGGGTGATGCATGCTGACTTTTGTTTTTACAGGTTCCCTTTGGCAGCTGACTTAAAAACAGAGTGGAAGGCACACAGGCAGAGGAAGGAAGGACTTCTCTTAAGTAAAATTATCTAGTGGGGACATTTTGTCTTTAAAAACCTTTTTTTGTCACCTCCTTTGCCTTACAATTTTCTTCCCATGATAGATTCCTTCTGGAGTGTGTGTGTGTGTGTGTGTGTGTGTGTGTGTGTGTGTGTCCTCCTGGGAGCCTCACCGGTAGCATGGAGCCCTGGTTAACAGCTCTCACACCTTTCCCTTCTCTCTTTTTCCCTTTTCATATTCTAACGTTCGCCTCTGCTCCTCTTTAGTGCTTCATCCTTTCCTATTTTTCAAACTCCCATTTGTTTCTGCCATTCATCTTCCTGTCTGCACTTGTGAAATGAGGGGGGTAGAGGTGAGTGAAAGAAGCAGAGAGAGACACTGTCAGTCCAGTGTTTTTTCCACATATCTAGTGCTCTCACTAAATATTCACTTAAAATATAATAGTTATTTTCAAATCATAAACATTCTATGTCTATTTTTAAAAATAATGAAAGCACAACTATAAATATAATACCAAAGACACAACTACGATATGATAAATATTAAACTATTTGTTTCCCTCATGGGAAGGTTTTGTTCATGTTCTTGCTGTTTTTGTTTTTTTTTCTGTTGTGTTTAATTTTATTAAGTTGAGAGATATGATCAATTAAGGATAAGTAATACTTGCCTTATATGTTTATCATAACTATTTCCCTAGTTTATTGTGTTTTATAGTTTACTATTTTTTGTGCAGATATTTTATTGTTTTAGTCAATCATACTCCTTTGAAATATCTTCTATTACTTATTATTATGGGGGATGTTGAGGATAATTTCATCTTAAAATATAGCAGAAATTAATTAACCCATCAGTAGAAATAAGAAAGAAATAGGACAAGTAAAGCAAATATGAGTGTAGGAACCCAAAATTAGACTGAAGTCAATTTGCATTTGAATACAAGGATAATAGCATTTCAGTATGAGTGTCCTCTCACTGGCCCAGTGGTTAGTCTCCATCATTCTCCTTTCCTTCTCCCTTCTGAAATACCTGCCAAAACAAATGGCTTCTCTGCCATTACTACAGGTGGAGGCCAAAACAATGGTACCCCAAAACAAAGGGACATGATACAAAGCCTAGAAGAAAGTTTATCCATCTTACTAAAGAGTAGAAGCTGGCACATTGGTTATAATCTATGTCATGTTAACTATGAAGATCCTAACCTCAGTCAGCTTAAAGCTGGCACCACCTGTAACCTGCAGGTGTTTTTATGTGCCCTGTCATGAGGAAATGCTCTAAGTTCTCAATGTGTAGAATTAAATTATTAAATCATCATAAGAAGTAGAGAGAGACACTGTCAGTCCAGTGTTTTTTCCACATATCTAGTGCTCTCACTAAATATTCACTTAAAATATAAGTTATTTAATTAATAATCATCAATTAAATCATCATCATCATGGCAAAATGTACTTTCTTACTCTGAATTTTTAAAAATTCTCAGAAGCCATGGAAAAAAGCAGAACCCTATCCCTAGAAACCTAGACAATACAGAGAGTATGAATCCTCAGTTTATTACAAATTCTCACAAAGCAATCAAATAAAAATGAGTACCCTATTATGAACATATTTTATAGTGTATCGTAAGTCTGCTCTCTTTATTGGGGCACAGTGATAAAGAGAGGAAGTTGGAGAATATCAAAGCATATGATAGGTAAGGGAGGCACCTCACTATCACACTCATGTTCAAAGAGATGTCTGAAATTCAGTATAAATATTACATAGGAGAGTTCTAATCAAATAAGTATTATGATGTAATTCATATACGTACATGTTATATATATACACATATACATATATATGTATATATATAAAACCAAGTCAACAAAAAATAAGAAATTTCATTAAACACAATATCAAAAATTGATTGAAGGACATGTCACAAACTGGTGGCAATTAAATTCAAAGTCTATTTCAATATACCCTTCCATAATTAATCAGGTTCTTTTTTCTGATGGGTATTTTCAGATGTGGTGATCTCAGTAAATCTCTGATGGGGGAACAGACAGGCTTTAGTTATTGGTTTCAATGTCTAGTTGACATCCAGATCCCATTTTGTTTTCAAAATGTAAGCAAAGAATTAGCTGTCTAGTTGCTCACTGGTCAGTTTGGGAGACAAAGGCATATACATAACTCCAACCCTAGGTCTTCTCTCTTGGGAGAAGAGGTTGTCTATGACCTTAGACACTACTTCTTAAGCTTACTTAAAGAGCTAGGGCTTGACCTCCTCACACAGACACTCATCCATAAGCAGGATTCTCATGACATGTCCCCTAGACAGTTCTCCCAAAGGTCTCAACCTCCTCATGCTTCCCTGACCAGGCTTCCTAGGAGTCAAAAGTAGCCTTGCCACGTCTGGACATGCTCTTGTCCAGACATTGTTTAAAACTCTGCCAAAGTTCCAGTATTGCCTTTATTGTGGCACCAGATCTCTGTTTTCACTGCAAGAAAGTCAAGTAGTTACTGCCATCAGTGTTTTGCTCTTCATCATACTAATAAAGTGTTTATTTTCAGAACCTTGGGGGGCGCTTTTTAGTACAACTTGCAGTGCTGACTGGACAGCCATTTTCAAGATCCATGAATCAAAGTAAAGAAGGACGTAGGAGCTGTGCCTAAGGTAGGTCAAGGATCTGTTGAATCTGAATTTAAGTTAACATAGTGGGTGGTCAGTTAAATGTTTTATAGAAAGATTGCTAGGTTAGTCGACTAGGTGGCTTTTGGTCTGTTTGGTTGTATGATTAACCTGCTCTCTCAGACTGCCCTTTTCTTCCATCCATTTATACCTGCAGCATCCTCAACTCATGATTAGTGTCTTTTCCAATTATTTTTAAGCTTAGAAAAATTTTTTCCTAATCCAAGATATGTCTTTGATATTCAGAATTTCATTATTTTATTAAAATTTTTCAGGACAAGGGTAATGAGCATCCCCGGATTAACATTTTGATCATTTTGTTTATATACATAACCCAAATAAAATCAATAATTTCCCTTTCCTTTTTTGTAAATTAACATTTCAAGGGGGAAGGAAGAGAGAAAGTGAGAAATAAAATTGTTACTATGGCTAAAAATGAAGGAGTTTGTGTGTGTGTGTGTGTGTGTGTGTGAGCATCCCCGGAGATTAACATTGATCATTTTGTTTATATACATAACCCAAATAAAATCAATAATTTCCCTTTCCTGTTTTGTAAATTAACATTTCAAGGGGGAAGGAAGAGAGAAAGAGAAATAAAATTGTTACTATGGCTAAAAATGTGTGTGTGTGTGTGTGTGTGTGTGTGTGCATGTGTAAGAAGGAGCTTTAGCATGCTTTTATGTTTATCTTATTCACCTCTATTCAAAGAGATATCTCTATTTAGTTTATGTTTATTCACCTCTATTCAAAGAGATATCTCTATTTAGAGAAAAGTAATCTGAACTGGGAATCACAAAACCTGATTCTAGAGCCCATCTAGCCCTGCTTCTGTCACTGACTGTGAAAGCTTCGGCAAACCACTTAGCCTAGCCTGTCTCAGTCTCTGCATGTGAATTCTCATCTGCATCTGCCTTCTGAATTGCCATAATGTTGTGATGCTCTAATAGTAGCACGTCGAAGCAGTAGCACTATGTTTCTGTAAATGCTCAACAGTTATACTATATCATTATTGTTCTCATTAGCAGGAATTTGTGCCCAATTCTGGTCTCATCCCATGGACTGTAATACTGTTACTACCCTTTTCTGGTGTTTTCTTTGTTTGTTTTGGGGAAAGAGGGGTGCTTTGCGCTTCTTTGTAAATACTTCAGGTATATTATTACATTATTGTCCTATCATTTGACCCATAATATCAAGAATGTCTTAGGCTTCCAAGAAGACAAATTGTGTGTAAAATTCTTATTAATGGTAATTCAACATGAATCCTCCTTTACCTCCAAGAAGACAAATTATGTGTAAAATTCTTATTAATGGTGATTCAACATGAATCCTCCTTTGCCTCTACTTTTTATTTGTGATAGAGGCTATCTGGTTAGAGTGTGTTGAATGTATTGTCTGGGCCAGAGTGACCATTGGTGAAAATTTAGGTCATACACATACTAAAAAGCCAAAATGGGATTCAGGAGAGAGATGCACTTGGGTCTCTGAGGAGACATTATTTTCCTTTCAGACCACTGGATGACCACTCTTGTGCCTATCATGCACTGAGATCTACCTTGGAGAACATATGTACATTAATGGCATTAAAACAACATATATGAAATGTGCCATTTCAATAAATTATAAGCTCTGGAAGGAAATTACACTGATTTCAGCCCAGATTCCATAATAAATAGAAGCTATGCAAAAAAAGTTACATACACACATACACATACATGTATACAAACACTTACTGTATTGACAATTTCTTCCCATGAATTCACCTGGGCACTCACAGGAATAGTTTGCGACAAGGTCTGTACATATTCCACCATTTTTGCAAGGCTCAGCTTCACATTCATTTATGTCTGAAAAAAAAGGAAAGGACAGAGGAAGAGAGTCATTGATGAAAAAATGATTAGTAATGGAAGATTTTAGGCATTACAAATAAAAGAAAGTCTAAGTAATGCTATTATGTTATGTGTGTGTATATCTTGAGTCAGTAATACAAATGCTGCTTAAAATGAAAAAATTTTTAACAATCAAATTAAATCAAGTACAAATGACACTGAGAATCCAAATGAAAAAACTGCAAAACTAAACCACTGTTCAATCTGAAAATAAATATGAATAGTGTGAGAAAATATTCAGTGTATCCTTAGAATTAAATCAAACAAATTAACCTTGATAGAGGGATGAATTGGTATCACTTACAAGATCTAGAAACCTCCCCTGCAGCAACAACTGCCAATTAACACTGTCTCATTTCATCTTAATTCATTAAAATGCTAACCGACAGAGATGTTTCAGTTTCTAAATAGTTCGCGTTTGATGAATGCGATGAGAAGCAAATTAGAGTTAATAGCTAAAGCTCATTACATGGAAAGTATAATAAATGTAAATGATGATCACTTCCTAATCTCATTCAAGGGTTTCTAAAGTTAGGATGACTAAAGAGACTTACTTTTGATATATCATTATTGTACCTGATGCAAAGTCATATGAAATATAAAACATTCAACAAATTATAATTTCTATGCTAATTTTGGACAGCAGATAACAAATATGATTTGAAGTGAAAAAAAAAAAAAGACTAATTCAGTCAAATATCAGTCATTGGTATTTACAAATCTTCCCCTCTAAGCACAACACCATGCTGGGTTCTGTGGGAGCTAGCGAAGGGAGGACACAAACTGCTCCCCGTTACTTTCTCTTCCTATTATGTATTCCAATACACTCCCCTCTACTTTTATTCCCACGATTCTGTTTTTTTAACCTTCTCACAGACTTAAACTATATTAATTAGGAATTGTCTATTTACATGCCTTTCACGCTTTCACCTAGTCAGGCTGTGAGCTTTACAAATGTAGTGCCTGTCCTACACTGTTCTTTGTACTTCTGCAAAGGCCACACACCTGCTGGAAGACTATAATGCCCAACAAATGTTTCCTAATAATTTCTAACAAAAGATTAGAAATAGTGGTGTAGACAATATAAACATTTTTTTTTTTAAATTTCAGATGCTTAATGTGCCTTCAGAGGCACTATAATGTATCAGAAGGTATTTCTGAAGTGCGTAAAGCAATTTAATCATTAAATTACTCCTCCCCCCACCAAGAAAAAACAGGGGCAAAATACTAGAAAAATCTCTAGTTCCCCTTTCTTTTATCATCTTGCTTTAAATAGCATCTCCTCCTGGAAGCAAAGTTGTCAACTTTTCACTCTAAGTTTATTGTACAAAATTTGGTCTAAATTTCTTTAGGCAGGTGATGACTTTCTCTGAAAAAGCCATCTTTTGGGGTTTCTGATTGACTGTCACAACTTAAGAGTAGAAATACCTCATGACTGTGTTCTGAAAGAAGCTTAATAATTTGGGTATTTTATAACATGAAATAATAGAATAAAATCAGAATCTGATAGTCTCTAAAAATAGCTGTATGCTATAAAATGCAATAGACTCCCAAATATTTAACACAAAAACTCTCTGGAAAGAAAGA